TTTAAATGTTTGGTTCTATATGTGAATGCGAGGAAAAAACTTGGCGAGGAATGGAAGGCGAGTATTGGTAGGGTTACATGAACTTTCGTAATAGAAAGCCATCACTTTTTATTTCATGGAAATGAGACATGAGTTTTATTTATTGCTATGTTAGTTTATACCTTGAACAAGCAATTATTATCGTATGTTGAAACATGATATGTCAAAGATCGACTTAATATTACACGTACTGTTTGTCGTAGTAAGGAGTTCAGAAAAAATGAATTTTTTAAGTTTCACTTTCAAAAATACATCATTCAACCATATCATTATTGAAAACGGTTGAAAATCGAATAATCTAATTCTAGTAGTAGTATTTTCATTCAATTTTTAAACATTAGAAGTTCATTAAAATGATATGATTTCTGAAGCTCGTACAACAGTACTTCTTTCTGGTACATGATGGTGTTTAATTACATAATAACTTTGATTGTGGCACTTTCGAAATAACATAAAGTATGAGTATAAAATTCGAAAGCAATCAAATAATTTTTATGAAGATTTTAGATCTTATACTAGGCTTACTTAGCTTAGACGCCCTGCCCTGCCCTCAGGGCAGGGCAGGGCAGGGCAAACCAAAAATGAATGAATTATTTTCAGGGCAGGGCAGGGCAAAAAAACTACCCTATGACGGTCTCTGGTCTAAACTGCTTGAACACCTAAATATGTTCCTTCATTAGTCCTATAATCATAAGAATAAATTGTTGAGTAGAACACGTGTCAAATTCCAAACTTTTGAGCATTTATAATCATGTGCGAGAAAACTGAACGTAAGAATGTTTAGAAAACGAATTATTTGCACATGCACATGACAAAGAACAATAGAAATGACTGTTATGGCCATGTACACATTTGGAGTTCAGATTTCTCAGCGGTTATACGATCAGTTTTTTTCATGCACATTTAAACGTCAGGAAGGTTGTGTTATTAAGTGCATACATATGTCACATACTGGCTCTGAATGCCGAGCGAAGGATTTAGACAAGAGGAATCGTGATGAACCAAATCTAACTTTACTAGTTGCATTTCGGTCGAGAATACCGAGAGATAAGAAAGAAGAAACCAAAAAAAGACCATCGGTAGAGAGAAGAACAAAAGAAAAGAGAAAACAACGAAAACCGCAACGTGTCGAGAAATAAGAGGTAAATAAATCGAACTGAACTGACAACAGAGTTCAATTCCAAACAGCACATGTTTTGCAAAATTCTTGTCTACTTGAGATACGAAAAGAAAACCCGCGACATATATTCCGTATGAAAATAAGAGCGAATTGCTGCACGATAATATTTCAATGATGTACCCAACTCAGTTCTATATGTTTGAGATGGTATCACAAATATCAGAAATGTTAAAACTAATGGAATGAATGAAATGTAATACGCCACCAAGAACAACCATGGATCACGAGCTGATTTTACACAACCTGAGAAAAACGAAATAATAAGTCTTGGTTGAGCTAAAATAACAAGGATAGATGAACTAATAAGTAAATGTTTATGTTGCTGAAATTGTTCTCTCAAATGTTCACCATATGTTTGATTCTTACGAATAGCAGACCGTTGGCGTGCTGTAATCACAATAATAACAAAAGCTGATGTGAAATTAATTCCAAATGGTACAATGAAATGAATGATGTTCACAGTGTTATTATAGATAGTCAACCATGATGAATGTGTGTAACTAACAATACACCAGATATGTTGCTCTTCAGTATCTTCAAGCAATCGTCGATTGATTGGATCGTGTATAGCACTAACAATATTGATTAATACAACTATAATAGTTGTAAATTTTGCCCAAACTTTACTTTTTGCTCTGTTAAAATGAATACCGAATGTTATATTAAGAGCTCGTTCAATGGCAACACATGCATTCAACCATTCGATGGTTGTCGGTAAAAATCTCAATAAAAAATCAATTATTTTACAATTTACACGTAAAAATATGTCATTCGTTATTAATGACATTTGTGTTACAAGTAAACTCCAAAATTTGTATGCAAATATATTCATTGTCAAAAATGACAGAATTGAAGATGACAATAGATAGATACCGCAGCCAACTTCAAGTGTTTTCTTTCGTGAAAATGTCATTATTGATAGAAGATTGCCGATAATACCTACTACAAGCATTAATATTGTAATTCCTGTGCTTAATTTAATGATAAAAGATTGTTTAAAAAATGATAAATGTGATCGTATATGATAACCAATAATAGAATCTAATGATAGAACAGTACCTGAAGTAGTAAACTGACACAATGTACCATAATAACATTCTTGACATACACAGATAGATTTTGTTGGACATGTCAAATCACTAACATAACATTGTCCATTATTTTCACAATAGTTATTCTCATCACATAAACTTGTGTCAGTATGATTGAAGTCAAAACAATTCGCCAAATGGCTTTTTGTACATAAACATATTTGTGTTGGATCATAAAAACACCGAAGATTAATATTATTTCGGCATACTAAATGGTAATATTTGATACGTTTTAGTGGATGAAACAGGAACGTAGTGCGATCAAGTAGTTCCTCAATATATGGGCATCTATTTGACGGAATAACAGTCGTGCTTACATCTTGAAAAGCAGACATTGAATCTTGGAAAATGAGATAATAACTATTGTCAAACTGAACAAAAGCCATATCATATCGCATAGACGGATAGAAGATAGCAACATTTTCATATACAGAGATTCGCTTGAATTCTGTTAAACGATCTGGGTTTCGAGAGTTTCGTTAGATGAAATAATGAATAAGTATTGTAGATGGTATTGGAATGTTGTTGAAAGCAATGTTAATACGCATTCGACGTTTTTCGCAAAATATACCTTCATATTCTTCTGAACAAATACAGAGAAAATCCTTTTCCAGTAATCGTTGGCCATGCGGTATACAAGTTCCACCATGTTGACAAACGATATCTTTACAAGATATTATTTCAGGGACATAACACAATGAACCAGATTTTCCTAAAGGACATACACAACCTGTTTCCGTACAGATCGATTGTGGAGAACAATTACATTCATGACGAAACTGACAGAATTCCCCAAACCAACCGTGACTACAGCGACAGTAATATTCATTGAGATTTTCATACCGATAGCATTTTCCATTTTGACACTGAATATTACCACATGATTTTGCTTGTGCTTGTGTTTCCGGTATAGCCAAACTAACAACAAGCCGATTAACTGGTAAAAATGTAAATGGAATTTTATGATGGAAACTTGATCGAAATTGAATCGTATTGTGCAAACGATTAATAGCATAAATATCAAGATGAATGGAATAATTTTCATCTTTTAATTTTGGTCGATCAGGATAAAGTAAATACATTTGATACCTTTTTTTACAAGAGGATACATACAAAATTTGTTCTTGAAATAAGAAATCCTTCTTTTCATTAAGTAAAACAATGATAATACGAAATACAAATAAATGATCACGGGCTGATTTTCGTCGAACATTCAAAATTAAAGCAATAAATTCATTTTGATATTGGCATCGATCACCATAATAAGCCGGGGAGCAAAAACAATAATATTTCCGATCAAATGAATTAACTAATACCCCTTGATTGCAATACCATTGTAACAGCAAATCATTGTTTTGCTCATGTTGCGGTTTTTTGTTTAGCAATGCTTTTGTTGTAGTCGACGGGCACTCATTATTTTGCATTGATATGCCTGGATATCGATAAGAATAGTTTCCAAGAGAAAAATACTTTCGTTCTGGTTTATTCCATTCTCTCAAATCACAGATCAATGCTTCTTCTTTTTTACTGCAAACATTTTCAACATTACACATATTTTCTCTTAAAACTGTCTTGCTATTAGAACATGTAAAATAATTAGGCTTACATGCATTCGATTCATGACGTAACCAAGAACAAATAGCTTCGTCGTCTTCAAGTGGACAGTCACTTGTACAATCGCATAGACGATTGATATCAATACATGTTGTATCGTTCCAACAACGATATCGTCGATTTGCTTCATTTGGATAATTCGAGCGGCAATAATCTCGTTCATCTATCGATCCTAAACAATTGATTTTCTTGTCACCTGCATATTTCATTGGTAAACAGTCCTGAGAAATATGGTTATCAATTTGCATTCCTTGTGTAATGTTATCGACTCGAATACAATGATATTCATCAGCTTTACAATTATAGGAATAAATCATGTACGAACAGTTTAATTCATCAGCACCATTATAACAATTCCATACTTTATCACACAGTGTATATGGTGTAACGCATGGCCAATATTCACAATTTGTTTCGTCAGTTTCATTTTGATCACCAATTTGAATCGGTGGCATTTCTGTGAAACCATTACAAATTTTTGAAAAGATAATTTTTTCATTCTCACATTGTTTATTTAAAATGCAATCACGGTGTACACTCAATTCATCTTCTTGTCCTGAACAATCTGCCGTGCCATCTTCTAGCTGTACTTGTGGTATACATTTCTTGTCTGATGGACAATAAAATCGATGTGATAAATTCAAAGAACAACTTTCATTAAATAACTCATCATATGATTGATAACAATCAACGTTTTTATCTACCAAACGGTATTTTGATACATATTCTGACGTACCTGCACAATGAAAAAGAGCTGGATGGGAGCAAATATCATTATTGGTTATCGTTAACTCAGGTAATGGGCACCAATGTTTGAAAAATAACTCAACGTCATCGTAGAAATTATCATTAATCAACTGTTCAGTATCAAAGAAAGGAAATTCATAAAGATATTTACATGCCGATTCATTAATGAAGAAGGTTGCATTCAAAAATTTATCGCACCATTTAGCATTATAACAAATATAACTTGGTACAATGATGTTAGTATTATTTAGTTCGTAAATAAATCGAATATCATTGAATAAAGTTGGCCAAGATGGAAAGATAAAACGCGACGGACATACAAGTTGAACTGATCGAGCATAGACACAGTCAACATCAACTATATATTCCAGACTCAATGCGCAAATGAGTGCTAACCAACATTCTTCTGACAATTCAGACGACACATCGTGCATAAATATGGCTTGGGCATGCAATAGATCCCGTCCATTTTGACAGAGAGACAAATAAGGTTGTGCCGGATGATGTGTCGAACACTGCCCATTGCCACATGAAAAGGAATGAAACCAACTACAAGTTAATGTATCGCAATCAAACGCTGGATTTGTAAAGCAGTTTAACCCTAGTGCTTCACGATCATAAAATGTTTCATCTGATGCGTCGATACAATCAATAAATTTATTACGATCACGAAATAATTCTTGCGAAATGCACATTCCATTGTTACAACGATATTGATCTTTTTCACATTCATTTATTTCCAATTTAAAACACTGTTCTTCGTCATTGCAATTGTCTAAACAATCACATTTTCTGTCACATATTTCTCTCCAATCAAGACACATCGGCGATGGACCACGATTACATTTTAAATGGATGTAACATGTCCCATTTGTCATTTTCAAAACATCTGCATATCCGTTAAGCGTTATTAGACTAATTCGAGATCGAAATCGCTCTTGGACAATTTTAGTAAATGAGTCCAATGAACCCAATGTATATTCACAAGATGGTCCAAACCAAAATGATGATGAACAATTATAATAAATTCCATTTTGGGCAGATGAATTCATACTATATAATTCATAATGTTCGATTGTATCAATTGGGGCGGACCATTCATAAAGATCTTTTCCAGTAACATTCAACTGACGAAGTTGAAAAAATGTATATTGCTTACCTAATGCCTTTGATTTATTTATCGATCTTTCTCTTCTCAAATCATTATCATCGGGACGAATACAATATTGTTGTAATGTCATTTCTAAATTAGATGATGTTGATGTCAACCTATATAAACAATCATAATAACGATTTACTTGATTTTCTACCGCATTCACCGTCTCATATAAATGAAAGTACCCGTTGGAATATTCAATAAGAAAAATTTCCATCAAAATAATAATGCACATCAGCGTTGTATGAAATCTGTTAATCATTTATTTAATAATTTGGTCATAAGATATTTTGTGAGCATACCATACTAAAAATGGAAATATTGCATTTTTTTTCAAGTAAACTAATCTAAAGTCTATAAACATGTTGAATGTATAGAGAACATGTTTCATGATATCCGATTTTTTTTTCATTTGATCACGTCAATACTGTCAAAAAAATGACAGAAAGTTATCGGATGTAATAGAAATGAGATACTATCAAAACATATTATTGTATTCTGTAGAGACAAGGAGGGTGGTGTGGGGTGTAGGTGGGTGTGAGTGGTATGGGTGTGGGTGTCGGTGTGGGTGCGGGTGCGGGTGTGGGTGTGGGTGTGGGTGGTGTGGGTGTGGGTGTCGGTGTGGGTGGTGTGGGTGTGGGTGTGGGTGGTGTGGGTGTGGATGTGGGTGTGAG